ATGTAAACCTGACAGGAAAGAGAAGCTGTAACAAGGAGATAAGAAACCAGTCAAATCTATTCAAAAATGGTGTTCTGCTCATTAATTTTTGTGAGGATCATGAATGGATATCACAGGCATTGCTAGCAAAACTGATTTTTCTGAACAAACAAAACTTTACAGTTATGTCAACGAAATAAGCGCAGAAAGGCATATGGCATATCTGTGACTGAGCTCCTGGCACCAGGGCCCTGTTGGTTTGGGGAGAAGCAGGCAGTTTTATTCCACATGGCGTCTTGTTCTTGAACGTCTAACGTTGGCCAGGGGAATCTGCCTGAGCAGCATGGATTTCCTTCCATTGAGTCTAAAGAAAGACTGGAGTGATTGACTCAAAGTCTTGTTCATGTACTTTTTTTTTTTTTTTTTTTTTTCATGTGAATCCAGTCCTTCAATCAGAATTTTTGAAATAGCCTTAGTCCAGGGGCTTTGTGCTGAAAGATTTCAAGTCCTGACTGCCAGACATATTTTTATTGCTTTTGCCTTTTATATTCATAAATTATGTTTTTATTTAATCACTAGTAACAATTATTCTTTTTTTTCAACCCAGAAACTACCTCTTCAGGTTGCAGCTTGAGGATCTCTCACTAATACAGGTATGTTTACTATTAATTTTCTTAGTTCCTGTGTGTGATGTAGGTTAAGCATCTATTTTTGTCCTCTTTGCTTTCCTTTGCTTTGCAGCTGATAGTATCCATTTAAATTCCACATTAGCCCTTGTCCCAGCCATGCAGACCTCATGTTACCTTGCTTTTTGCTGTGATTTTACTAGAATGAATTTCTACAAAAAGAAGGTTGGAAAAGGGGTCTTATTCTCTTAGAGGAATGGTCTAACTTCTTATCGTGTACTTTGTTAAAGCTGTTTTCAGAAATGTACTATTATTTTAGAGAAAAGTTGTTTTTTAAAGTAATTATAAATAGAAATTCTAAGGTAGCCAATTTGGTTAAACTTGTTAAAGGTTGGAAGGTGAAATGTGAAACTTTTTAGAGGTGTTTAGGCTTCATAGAAAGGGTAAGTAAGAATGCCAAAGTGATTTGCTTACCTTGAACTTCATGTTACATCTATACTGAGTTTGTTATCTGTGATCAGTCTTATCTTCCCCCACTGGTCTGATCTGAATGTGTTCGCTGCTTGGATTTTGTTGGATTTCTTTTTCTTTTTTCTTTTCCCATGTTGGCGTAATTTTTAACCTGCACCAACATTTCTGTGTTTTTGGCTCTAAGCGTTCTTTTACTAAATTGAATTAAGTTGGCTAATTAAGCTATGTAAATAGAAAATCTGAATAAAATAGAAATT